GAAGAGAAATTGAAAATCTTGATTTTTTTCTATATTCCTAAATAAATAGTATCTGTAGTTTGCCGATCAAGAAATTTGAAAAACTAAAAAATTAGGATAAATTCTGAAATAGACATATTTGAGTGAATTTCCTTAAATTTAACTGCTAACAAATATAAGAATCCTGCTTATATAAATTATAAACTCATGTGTAACGATGTTATATCAGTTAGGACCACGAGTGAATCTTTAATTTTAAAAAGATTTTTGATCTTTAAACCTACTATGTGATTTGCACTGCTTTTTATAATGGAACAGATAAGACACTTGAGATATTTCAAGAAAATCTAATAGTAAATGGTTATACGAGTAATATTTATTTTTCGTTTACTCATGAAAACACGTTTTAATACTATAAGCAACTTCTGGTTTTCCTTAAGCACTTTACCCCAACAATTTATTACTTGCTCCTTCCTATTTCACTGACAATAAAGTAGAAAATGAAGACACAGCCGCTGTCACTGTAGATGATACAAGAACAGATGCAGCCATTCCAACCCCTAGGTAATCTTGGAGCGTCTTATTTAGGGGTAGATCACAGAGAGTATCTTGAGAGACTCCACTAAACGAACCGTGTAATGATGTCTTTAGCTGATGTCCAGACTATCAGGATAACAGAAGAGCTGCTTAAAAAGTATCAGGGGAGCAGATCAAAAAACTAATAACTATCAGGGAGATAGAAGAAAGATGATTAGGAGATGATAAAGTGCTTAATATTTAATTGGGGTTAAGCATTAGGGGTGGATTTTGAGAATTTCTTATGAAGCAAAGTAATTTTGCTTTAAATAAAGTTTTTAGGACACTAAAAAACACAGAAAGGTTGAAGCCCTGTTACTTTCAACCGGTTCTGTAAACAAACGATCTAAAATGTATAAAAAAACAACTTATTTTGCATTAAACATGCCCTTCTTAAATGACTTTAGGATAAACGAGTTTAAGGTTTACTGTTAAACGAGGTGGGGAAAACTGTGACGTTTTTCGGTAAAATGTGTATAGTATAATATTAAATAAATAACTTAGTCAAATTTGATGAAAATATCACCACACATTGTCTAAATACTCGTTAAACCAAATGTTAGGAGGTAAATCTGACATTAATAACGAAATATGTTAGGGAAAATCAAGTCACACTGATGAAAATGTGCTAGGTCCACAGCATTTCTATAACGGTGGTTTTAAATTATTATAATATTTTTCAGAAGGATACACACGAGTATCTTCAAAAAATAAACACATTAAATAAACTCACAACTCAACACAGTAACACCCATCTGGGTTCTACAACTTCAATTTATTACCTTACAACTCAAAACGGGAGGTTTATCGTCTGCTTCCCCTAAAAAGAAACCCCTAATCCAAAAATCTACCTGAGATTAACCCCGGAGTGTTTTACAGGCAATAAAACTTGTTCAGATATCTCACGCTATTTGTCGTGATGTATCGAGTTTCGGTGTAAATAATTGCTGCGTTATCTAGGGGTTGGATGGTAATTGAAAACTGATTAGATTTATAGCTCATTGCATTCAGCGTAGCTTTTAAAATAATTTTAATTCATGTTGAATTTTTTTAAGAGGTTGGTGGCCTCTTTTAACCTTGCATTTGCCCGTCCACATAGACTAACCGCCCGTGCGTGGATCGTTAACAGCAAAGCAAGGAGTGAGCCGGTACAGTACAAAGATGAACTGTACTGCTACATTGTTTTCGGCAGTGACCAGGATCCGAACCCCCGACATCGCTGCCTTGGGCCCGAAGTCCGCGACGCTACCGACTGAGCCACCGACTCACTATACATACACCTTATTGACAATCGGTTGAATTTTGTATAATGCATTCGGTCAAAGAAATTGCACTTCTTTTAAACAATTGTATCAGTTGAAAACATAACTATTATTTGTGTTCCAATTATATTATACTTTCATACGACGATGTACAAATTTTCTGTTTTTCATGTTGTTAGCCTCCGGATGACTGGTAATAATAAATAATGGTTTAAATACCTTATATTATCAAGTGATCCATTGTAGTCCAAACATAGGCTACTGCAGTTTCGTTCCTCTGGGACGAAATTTGATGTCCTTGACAGCCTGATGAAGTTCCCATCGGGAACGAAACTGCAGTTGCATTTGGACTACAAAGGAGCATTTGGTATTTAAACCATTATTTATAAATTATCTGTGGTGCGTGAATTTAGCTATTTTTCATATAGAGAACAATACCGAGGTATCATGGTAAGACCTTGCTTGACCTAGGACCGATTTACTTTTTCGATTTGATGTCCGCAGATGCCAATGCATCAGTAATACATGTCCGTCAGCATGGTAACTCGAATAAAAATGATCCGATTTTGACGAAAGTTGGTACAAATGTGTAAACCTACATTTATTTAAACGAGTTCGCAAACAAACATGATCGGTCTAAGGAAAGGAGTTTTGTTCATTTTTTTCATCTAAGGACAAAAATACGACACTTAAATTTTATACAAACCTTTAATGCACAACTATACATTAAATTGCTCATAAATCGTAAAAATACCGCAAAATTAAGCATTCAGCTTTTTAAACAACTTATTCAAACCTGTATTAAATTAAAAACTGCAGGTTTTGCTTTGCAATAATTAACTAAAATCACATTTTTAGATTGTTATTAGAAAGTCTATTTATCTGCTGACACTCAAAAAAGAATTAAAGCCACAGTTAATTAAGATAAGTAACCCCATTAAACCGGGTGTTCATCGTTGAGGCGCTTTCGACCTTGAAATATCTCTTTCGTGATAAGAGGCAATGAGCTCCCTAACCCTGGGCTCGTAATTCTTTTCTTTCCACCAGCCTTTCTTTTCCCAGGGATTTCTTTTCCTTTATCTTAAAACACTTTGAATTGCATTAGGTGTAAGTGTTCTTAAAACTTTTACGTGCTGTTGTTTTCCGTTAAAATGGGATGGTTAGTGCTAAACAAACGTGTGATGTTTGGGAAGTGTGTACGAAGTTTTGAAAATGATGTTGAATTGATTACATATTATCACTTACCTGTTACATGCTGTTTACGTTTGTTTAAACATAAAAAACGATTGGATGGATGTTAAATGAATATACACGTTGTTACATAATGTTGAATTGATTACATATTATGACTTTAGCATACTATATTTACGATACGTCAGGTGGGGAAAGAAATTGTAATGTGTGACAATAATTTGTATGTACAAGAAGCACAATTGTAGGTAAAAATTGTTCAATAATTGTAAGTAAAAAGCACAATTGTGATTAACTTAAATATCGTTTTAGGTTACTGACTAGGATCACAAGACAGCAATACAGAGTGCAAATGTCACAAATTGAACAGGGTTGAAATAAAAGTAAATGACACACTCTTGAGGAACACCTCAAGCGTTAGTTTCGGTCATATCTTCATAATAATTTATCACATTTACTTTTGCTTTTTTGACATGCAGACCATTGAAAATCGAAACCTATGTTAAGTAATTAATTAATAAGGGCTATTTCAACTCCTCCGGTTGGATTTCAATGAAATCACACCTCTAATTGACAACCCTAGAACTATTCACTTTGAAATCCAATAACCCTATAAAACAATAACATCCACCTGCCTCCCCTTAAATCTTTGTCTCCACCAAGTGTCGCCGGGTTGGGGGTGGAACCTTTGAAACGCAATCTGTGCGATCTTATTGATTGAATCATTCCTCATATCATGACAGATTAGGGTTAACTCTGAGGGGTGCAATCAGGGGACGGAACGATGCACCCTCACCCCAAACTAATAAAATGTCACGTGATCCAAGAAAAACTGGAGATGTGCGGAATAAGCCGTCGAGAGGTGGCTGTCGGCGCTCCAATTATTCTCGAGAAGGGGCGTGCGTGGAGGACTGAGAACAATATGGCTTAGTGGGGCAACATTCGTCATAGTGTATCCAGCTTGTAGTTCTGTAATTGGTCCCTTGTGGATTTTTCCTTTTAATAATATAATAATTAATGCTATAGATGCAAAAAACGTGTATTAATTAATACTAGAGGTCGTCCAGTTGTCGAAAACTCGAACAAAAATATACGTTATGTACAGACTTCTCTATTTTTACCCCACGCGTAAATAAAACATGTATTTAGAATTTGTTCCACTTGTTTTGATTTTCTGTTTATATTTCGTCACCAGCATGGCAACCCGTAAGGCCGATGTTATTTTTTTAAATTTTTAATCAATTTTTTTTGTTTTTTTAATCTATTTTAATTTATAAATTGATTCTGTACATCTACTGGAAAATATCTTTCTAACAGTATTGTATGCAATTAAAAATTGGTTTTATGTATCCCAAATTTTCTTACGATGAAATTAGTAAACCACTTGTGATAATCTAGTTCGGTCAAGGATATGATTTCTATACAGATTAGGTGTACGGTGATTCAGCTCTCAGTGCATTCTAGGAGTTCAATGCAGTATAATGATAACGGTTCAGCCAATAAGATTCTGAAACTTGTATTGTATTTTAAATTGTTTTTAAATCCCACCCAAAACAAGTTGTCTTCTTCGATAATGACGTAGGACATCCTCCTAGAGTTTTATATTAGTACTATCATAGACCAACCAACACAAGTAGACTTCTCATCCCATTGTAAATTTTGAAGCTCGTGTCTAGTTCATGTCCGGTGACACTGATCGCTACTGTCTACGAAATTTTGTTTTTGTTTTAGGGTTAATTCCATGATGAGTGCTTTATTGTTTTGTTATATAACCAGGGGACGAGTTATTGATTATGATTAGATCGTTTTATTTGGCCAAACGAGGTTTTTAAATGACTAAAATAACAAGGAACAAAATGTCAACAAAACACGATCTCTACAGTGCACCAGCCAGAACTAAAAAAAATGTCTTCAGATGATCCATAAGGGTGAGAAATCTGTAGGGAGTCTGTATGTTTTATCTATGATACATATGATACTCTTTTGTTACAGTTCTGAGGGAGGAGTTCCGTATCCAGCCCAACAGCCAGAGGGTGGCCCAAGGAGAGACCGTGGTACTGGAGTGTTCTCCCCCCAGAGGACACCCGGAGCCGACGGTCCTCTGGAGGAAGGACGGCCAAGTGCTGGACCTGGACAACAACCATCGGTAAGTGAGAGGTCTTTGTTTACCATCGAGTTTCATGTGCAATAGTTTTCAAACTGACTTAAGTCAACAATCACAAACAGGTGTGGTTATGGTGGTTAGCGTCTCGGACTTAAGTGCGGAAGGGACGGGTTGTATGCCATAAAAATGTCAATGGCGTAGAAACATTAAACAAAAACAATACAGCTTTATTTACCAGGCAAATGTGAATAACCTTTTCCAACCAGAACTGCCTAATTTACAGGGGTATGACAACAGTGGATTGGTTGATGGACATGCTTATTGGTTTTACATTCCCAGCTAATGAACCTACTAATGAACAATCTGATAAAACAAAATACACTGTAATTAGTAAAACTAGTTAATGGAGTGTATGAATTAGTTTTGCGTCATTGCATGTCTAGGAAAATTTATTTGGTATGATTGTTTATTAAGTTTAGTGAACTGTCTAATTAAATAGCTTTCAATTCAAAAGTTTTTGTTAAGACGAATTTTCATTTTGGATAAGTAAGAAAAATCAAAGTTTTCACGACCAGTTAACAGATAAGTTTTTTATTTATCAGATTCCAAATCGTAGTTAAAATATTTTCACTAATCTTGATGGTAAAGATCTCAACAATCCTTTACATTACATAACCTCAATCTTAACCAAAAAGGAATTTCAAACAAATTGCAGCTTTTTAATATGTATTTAAATAAAACTATGATCATAGTATACTCTGTGGCTGATTCAATTTTAAGTCAATAATTGATTATCCGTTATGTGAAACGATACAAACAGTTGAAAACGATTATTTTCAGTTCCATAGTTTATGGGTTTGCTATTTTGAAAATGTAAGACACCAGCTTAAGATTTGAATCTTGTTGTATTGCGACCGATTCTTGCACGTTAAATTTTCCCACCGTTCTCTGGGCACACTCGGTTGTTTCCCTCCAAAACGCGGCATTTTACCCTCGTTATTTTCACCATAACCTCCTGTCAGCTGTTCCCCGTGTCAGGTGATGGATAAAGCCATTACGACCGGACGATAAATATTTCAACTTGCAGGATCCCCCGGGAGATAAGACAGTTGGCTTTGCATCGATTTATAAAACCCTCTTGATGGATCGAAAGCCAAAACGTGAGGCGTTCTTACAATACCTCACACCAAGGGGTGACGGTGATACTGATACAACTTGCTTTAACAGTAAACTCTGAATTTTGTACTACTCACACTTCTCATTTCATTGTAAACTATAAAACCTTTTCGATTTATTTATTTATTTCAACGGGCATCTCCATTTTACAACCATACAAATCGAATCAGTACAACTCAGGATGGCTTATACCGGACATATAACAAACACAACAGAAACAGTTTGAAAGGATGAAATAGTTCATTGTAAATAAAACAAACTTAGACAAACAGTCTAATGCAAATAGGAACAAAATCAGAGTGAGTTTGAATAATACTGAAAGTGGAAGATTAGAATACATAGTTGATAATCCTGACAATAATAATCAATTCTGTGCTTATAGACTAGAATAAATTCAACAATACAATAATGATCTTGATAACAATTTTATGCTAGGGACATTTGATTTTGGTGTTCACTAATTTATTGTTTCTCCTTTTTTGGTGGAGTAAACAACAAAACGCTCTCTAGAAAAAGTGGTGAGAACCAACCTTAAAATTCCCTTAAATTATGTATAAGAATGATAAACCTTTGATGGAATATTTGTTTCTCCTTTATAAGTGCAGAGTGGTCAAGAAATTATCACAATGCTTTAAAATATTGGTGATAGACGAGATTCAAACCCGAGCCATTAGAACCTAACTTCCACTCTAAAACCATTAACCAGTTGTGTAACGGAGATTCAGTTATATAACCAAATAATATGTTACATTTTCATTGGGCTATTGATAAATGATAATTTCTAACAATTAATTGAGTGTATTAGGATTCAACGCACAGTTAAAAGTCTCGAGATTAGACGTGACTTCAAGGAAAGATGAACGGAAGGAAAAGGAAAGTTTCAAGTGTTCCATTCATCCTTTCAGAGTTATGAAGGATGATCATTGATCAAGTTAGGAGTTGAGAGTAAAGATGAACGACTAATCGACTCGAACTAAAAACGATTTCTTAAAGAAACACGTTTATATTTTTTAATACATACTCATTCATTGCTATGTATTAATTAAGACATCATATTTGCATCACCTATTTTGTTGGCCAATCTAGTTTGACTAATTAGTTATAAAATATTTAAGTACTAAGCGCGATATAATATTCGGATTAGCGTCGTTGCAAACCGAGATTAAAATGTTTTAAACTGGATGTTTTGGTAATTATTGGACTTTTTAAATTGACTAGCTAAATAAACAGCAGGTCTTAGTAACTGAACTACATTAGGCGTACCTTCGTTGTGTGTCCTATCCTAAATACTGATATAAAATTAGAGTAGGCACCAAACCATATATGTATTTTTTTTTAGGAACAATCAAACAATTGTATTTTTAAATTTGATCTCAAAAATACGTATGGAATGAAATAAAAATTCGACAACCATCCTAAATTCAGCAAGCCCAAAAAGTTCAATACTTACGTAGATTTTTATCATATTTTAAGACTTTTTACGCAGTATACCATTACATACTACCATACAACTGTTTTTTTCAACACTGTATCCCCTAACAAACTATATGTAGAACAAATTAGACTGAACCCATTTAGAAACATACTATACACGATGTATTTTTGAACCGTGGCGGCTTGTGTCAAAAACGTTTTGTAGAACACTTTAGTTCTTAACTAATTTTAGCTATAACTTTTACATTTAATTCCAAGCATAACATACAAGACAAACAAAAGCCCTAGAAGCTCTCAACAATGCATTAGTGGCATTCTTCAGCTCTATTCTAAGAGCTGTCCAACACATTAAACACCCAGCTAATGTTGAATTATTTTAACTTGGTGTCTACTCTAATGCTATATAGATTTAAAGTATCCCCCATTGATGTTGAAATTTGTACTGAATTCTAAACTGTGTAAAAATTACTAATACGAAAACAAATGTTATTTGTTAAATCGCACCGCATGCAAGAATTGTATATGTTTTGCAAAATCTCAATTTAGGTCATAAAACATTTTACATAAATCCTAAACAAATCGTCTAATTAAACACGAATATTGTTTAGTTGATTATATTACCGTAAGTTGTCATGCTATTCATACATTGATAACGCTTCAGAATAAAGAAAAACCTAGTTCGATTTAAACTTAGTTCCGGGTAGGACCGAACCGAACCGGACCGGACCGAATCGGACAAGTAGCTTATACCGACAAAAATGATACTACAGACGTAAACGATTTCGTCTTCTCTACCAACTTGTAAAACATGTAAATCTAGACGCATATTCTGAAGACTACGTCATCTTGTAGACCTCATCAACTAGTTCACGAATTACTAAAGACAAAAATGAACACCAAAGATATATTGTAATTGTTTAAAATAACCGCAGCTGGTTTATATTGGAATGTCTACTTCAGTATCGCAAGAATAATAGTCCTAAAACAGCCTCATTCCATTACGGTTTCAGATGGTTTCAGCTCTCTGAACTGTGCCATCGCGAAGAAGTAAAGAAGAAGAAAAATTGAACGTAACCGATGCCTCACATTGGGGGGTTCTCTCTTACTATGCCAAAATAAATAATGCTAAAACTATACATTGATTTCCTTTTCAATCTTAGTTTCGACACAGACTCTGTTTATATTTAGCCACGAAGACATAAAACATGAGCAAAGAGTGTATTTTCCATAAAATATATCTGATTTAAGACTGGTCGAATAATTTTAGTAAAACTCATAATGTTCTAGTTCTTTTGGCTAAACAAAACGGTAGCCTACTATAACCAATGCTGTAAACATTACGGTTCAGAGTAATTGCATTTTTTGTGATTTCCCCCATAAAATAGCATAGTTACTTCCACCGCTTCCAATAATGGATCGACAACCTAATAGGATGAAGTGTGTCAGATTGCTGATACCGTTTACTTATGATTTTCATTTCTATTGTGAATTTAGCTGAGCAGTTTAGCTTCAACAGAAGGTTGATGCTTTATAGCATAGACCATCTTTTATGTTTTTTCATTCCTAGAGTTCGTGCCTCCTTTTCTTAGTCGTTTCTGGCATGTGTAAGACATTTTTACTATGCATCCAAAGGTATTTCAAATTACATTTAGTTGGTAAGTTATACCACACGCTTGATTAAGGAACGCGGCAGCGTTCCGCCCCGCCAAGTCCCCCAGCGGTACACAGCTGCTGCAGTGTATATATACATGACGTGACAAAGTGGCTTTTTTACTCGTCTATAGCTCTGAAGAAACAAAAGCTATTAAAATAATTGTTCATCTACTGGATAGGGGCAATCATTCTCAACAAAATTAAAAAAAAGAATTTAAAAAACGGTTGTGTTTGAGCCAAGAAAAACTAGTTTGAAAATTCACAAATTTTCCGTGTTCTCCTTCTTCTCCTTAAATGTTGACGGACCTACAGCCCAAACCACTGGCTCAATTTTAATGTTTTTTATGTTGTTTGAAAGCCCTTAGCGTGTAGATGTGCCTTTTGAGGGTCTCAAGTCGGTGCGTTGACCCATAAACCCTTGGCAAGCCCTCAAAGTACGAGTTTGGCCCATTTAAATAACATGGGATTAAAATCAAAACAAAAGAAGGACCAGCTGCGATTAAATCTTAATTAATTAAATGTTAGAGAAATTCATAGGAACAGCTGAAAAATTATTTTAATACTTTTATAAAGTATTTTTTTCAGGTATACTGAATGATTTGAATTACTTACTATATAAAATTACTTAGAGCAGTGATATTCCCCGATACTTTCCATTGAAAAATGCAGTGTACCGATGGTACACTGGTACAGCAGCTCGTCATTTTTAACAGTTTAATACTACTTATCAAAACATATGAAACCTAGGAACTTGAAACTTAGTACTAGTACGCTAGTACTAAGGTTTGTTCTATGTTTTGATACACTAAAACAAATAAAACGATCGGGAAAATCACTCTACATACGTTAAACAAGCAATTAAAAAGTGATATGTAAATTTAGGATAAATGAGTTATTCAATATTTGTTTTGCCTTATGCTATTTCTAACAAACCTAATTAGTTTGATTACATTTTTACATCTCTAATAAGGGCTCAATTTACACTAGTCTTTAGATATACGGGTTTAATTATTAGAACACCTTTGTAACATCAACACATTTTATGTTGTTCAAGATGAGCATTGATGAAATTTGAAACTGAGTTTAAGCCCAGTGGGTTTGTTAAATAGTAATTTTGGTACGTGTGTCAAAAAGTTTTTAATCTGTTTAAAGCAGATAAGACCAAAAATGTAGAATTTAGTTCTACATTAACAATATTATTGAAATTAAATGAGATGTAGTTGTGCCGTGGTCTATATATCAGAGAAAAGAGGATTTTTATTTTAACTGTTAATTTTCTACAAAAATAAATAAAATCTAACAAAAAACCACTAAGTGGCAACACTTTCCCCGCCAAGTCAGCAATCCAAAAAAGTTAATAAATCATTACTTTTTCCGCCAAGAAAAACAATGTAATGTATGTAAGTTTGGCAACTTGGCGGCAGACTTTTGCTCGATCCCTTTAAAAAAATACCATAAAACTAGTTTCATTGAGCAAGTATCCCTCCCATTGGTACATTGCTAGGTGAGAGCTTATTTTACAAAATTTGACCTTATTTGTGCCACATTTCATAAATTATACTTAGTTGGACTAATTAATTAGGGAAGTTGATTTGTGAAATTATCCACGAACGTAACTTAAATGAAAAAAACCAAGCAAAAGTCTGCCGCCAAGTTGCCAAACTTACATACATTACATTGTTTTTCTTGGCGGAAAAAGTAATGATTTATTAACTTTTTTGGATTGCTGACTTGGTGGGGAAAGTGTTACCACTTAGTGGTTTTTTGTTAGATACTAATTTCTTCACTGCATTGTCAGATTTATACCTTCAATAATGTATTTTGTCGGAGTTTCGCCTTGTATCTGCTACACTTGCTGTAGAACGTCAGTCGACTACTCAATACCTGGCCTGTCGCCAGTTGGCTGCTTAAGATACAACAATGGCTATTTTCCCGGCTGAGCGATTCTGATCCACGTGTTTTGTCCTCTCCTTTCTTCTCATTTCGTTTTTCATTCCCGCTTTAATCTTTTGAAAAGGTTGCTTTCCATCCCATTGGAGAATGTGTTGTTTTCGTAGCGTTAGCAGTGTTTAGTATACAAGTCTTTTAAAAAGACGAATGTTGTGTCTGAGTTCGCTTTATGGATGAATTAAGATGAATAAACACATCACAAACTAAATAAAGCTATTAATTTAATTTTTCAAAATTTAGTTTTACGGTGAAATATTTCCGTGGTATAGGAGTTGTGCAGGTTTTGCATCAAGCACCAAGCTGAAGAAAATTCATAGACCGATTCCGAGCATAATCTTTATAATTAAGAAAGTTTTGGACGAATCCTGTATATAACATCCACAATCACAGGATGTGAATAGTAAGAGAATAGTATATTTCATTACTAGGACCGAAAGTGGCATTTTCTGTCGCGCGCTCAAGTTTTTGTGTGAGGCGAAGCCGAACACAGGGAACACCAATTTCACGTGCGAGGCGAAGCCGAGTATGTGAGGGCTATTTTCACGTACGAGGCGAAGCCGAGGACGGGAATAATGGAGCAAGTGCCGGATAATAACTTCGGTACGAGTTATGAACGATACTTTTCATCACGACGCAAAAATACACCAACACAGAATAGCAGACCTCAGTAATATTACAACTATTTTATTACTCAATTAATTTGATTGAACATCAAAATAAAATAAAATAAAATTTTATAAAAGGAAACCTACACATATTTCTCAATACATTTTGTTTAAATGTCAAAATAAAAGAATAAAACAACTTTGAACAATGCATACAGCTGATTCAAATCATTAAATTAAACCATTACAAAACACTAGCGCGCGTAGTGAATAAATGTAGAACTAATTGAGAGCGAGGGAAAGTAAATTTAGAGCGAGGGAAAATCAGCTGATCGATTTTCCCTCGCCCTAAATTAGAGCTTAGGAAACGACTACTTTCATTGATGTCAGCTGTTACCGAAAACAGTTACTTTCGTTACGGAGTGATGAAAAATCTTTTACCTTTAAATAGATTACTTAAAATTCAACCTAAAAATCTAAAAATGTCTCTTCAGGATGTAAGTATTTTTAATTTTCTTTTTTGAAAACGTTACAATGACTATACAATTTTTTCAAAAGTTTTTTTTTGCGTCTTAGAGTTTTCATGGAGTTTTTTATGTATTTTTTAAGGGTACGTCAAAAACTCGTATCACCTAACGCCAACATTTCCATAGAAATCACATCAGCCCGATATATATCACTTTGGTCCAGTATTGAACGATGTTCAGATTGTAAGGGGAGTATTTTACCCTATCGGACACCCGGTCAACTAATTTCTCTACTTACAACGTATTTTCAACTTTACTTTTCACACTATGCTGTTTAACGAAATCCACTACCCAAAATGTTTAGGTGCAATCATAACCCACTTCAAACTCAAAAATAAAAAATACTAAATTACTTACGTAAAAACTCTTTAACAAATTTTTTTAGTGTTTAATCGCCAATGTAAGTACATGATGGACTCGAGAGTTTAAGAGAGGATTTAACAGTTTACTGATAAAGTGGTCCAGAGAGAGTTGGGTTGAATTGTTGAATTGATCATCTCAGCGAGATGGATGTGGGCAATTACCTCTGTTGAATAACTTATTGCCCGGTCGGGACTGAAACTCCCCGGCAACAATCGGGCATTAGCCGGGCATCGATCCGTTGGGCGTAGAGAATTATCGGTTTTGCTCAAATTACTTAGGTACGACAATCGTTTATAGGGCTAAAAATGGAAATAGGTGAAATCGTTCATATAAGGTTAGTTGAAACAATATTAGGTCTAAATCGTTGTTAAAAGTGTATCTGGAACAATTATTGAGAGGAGTGAGCAAAGCTCTTAAAAAACTCTTCTACTTTTTTACAAATACTCCTCCTGAAAGGCAATTGAGGCAATACGCACGAAATTTAGCACAGTCATAGTAAACAATCATGGGAAGGTATAAATCTGAAATGGTACAAAACAGACTACAGGACAGGACTTTTCCCTACGGTTATTTAAAATTTTATAAACTTAACATGGGCCTTAAGGGTTGATTGGTTGCCATGTCAGTATTTTCCAATAAAACAATAAAAATGTTCTCAAAGGTAACATGTCATCTAAACTAGCACGTAGCAAATATAGAACAAAAGGGACCCGCAATCGGATCAATTAAATGTAGCAACCGTAGAGCATATTAACTACAAAATGTATAAACAAAAAATAGGCTATACACCATTGAATTTGGATACTGAAAGTAGACATTCCATTTACGTCCAGACGTACTATTGACTTTGGATACTGCAGGGAGGCGTTTCATTTATGTGAACCAGTCAATGTGTTTAGCATTGACTTAACTGTGCGTTGGATTTATATGCTTGCTCCGCTCAATTTTGCAAGCAGACAACTGCATTGTACACCTAGTGGGTGAAAATCGTTCTTACAAGGTACATCGATAGAGTATGTTCTATATAGTGTTAACGCCTAAGGAAAGGAAGAAACAGTTGTGTCTCGTTTTTTAGCCAAAACGTAATCGCAGTTTCCTCAACGTAAACTCATTTTTTGGCTTTTACACATGTTGCAGACTACAGATTGTGGATGGAGGCAACCTAGCTATCCAGGAGGCACGACCAGGGGACGAAGGCAGGTACCAGTGTGTGGCCAAGAACACCGTTGGCTCCAGGGAGTCCCAGGTGGCCCAGCTGAAGGTCCATGGTAAGTATATACAGAGTAAGCGGCAAAAGGGTGTTTAAAGGATAGCTAACCAAATCAGTTTCTGAACACATCCTGGAAAGAAAACAAGTAGTTAATTCCAGTACATTTCATTGGTTACGTAAACACAGTATCTATTGCACTTCATAATAATTAAGTAATCTGACTTTGGTTGCATTTTAAATTAAGAGCTTCTAGAGTCTTCTAGGTCCTCGAATGAAATGACGAATATATTGATCGATAGTTTATTAGATGACCGTAATTAAAATATTCAAAAATATTGAAACCAACCAATTAAATAAAAATTTATATTTTAATGTCGAAAAACATTTTTTCCTTGAAACTTCTAAAACTTTGTCAGGGACTCCATTATATATTATTTCACATAATATTATAACAAAACCTAGAATAATCATTGATCACATACATTTTTATGTTTAAAACAACTGTATTTAAAACAAATGTTGTCCTTTACTGTATGCACAATTAAAAAGTTAAAACATAACTCGTTTCACTGCTGTACACACATTACTAACTTGAACCAGAGGAGGAGTAGGCATTTAACGAGTAGGACATTTTCTACTCCTTTAATATATGCTTAAACATATTTAGTACAATTAATAATTTTTATCCCAACTTCTATTTCCAACCTATAATCATTTTCTTGATAATTGCTCTTCACATTATGTTTTTTTTTCTCTGATTCACGAGTGGGTTCAGGGTAGAGCAATTCAGTTTATGTAGAATATCCACCCCAAATTCACTCTGCTGTACATAATACTCGCTAAAAGTAGTAGTAAAGTGGGATTTCTGAGCCAGACGTGACGTTATCAGCTTACAGCAATGCAAGTTACCACGTGAGAAGAATGATGTCACCCGTTCAGCATCTCTGTTCCCCTAATACATAAACTAATATTTCTTCCTTCCCAACAGTTAAGCCCCACCTCCTGAGAGGCCCCAAGGACACGGTGGCTCTGGCAGGAGCCAGTGTAGTGTTCGCTTGCGAGGCTGCTGGAGACCCACCACCGGACGTGCTATGGAGGCGAACCGCTGGAGGTGGAAGCATGCCTCTAGGCAGGGTGAGCATGGGTCTAGGGAGGGTGTTATTATGTATCTTAAAATAATCATAACTAGTGTCTAAGGCCAACTTGATTTAATTTGATCAATTATGCTCTAAAGCTCTTCTGATGAATAAATGGGTAGGTAAATATCGCGTAATTGAGCCTCATTTTCCCAAAATAGCACTTCCAACAGGACAAAATCTATTCTATATGGCTACTCTATTTATATAGCATGTAAAACTTGAATAAAAACCCAGCTTTAGCTGTACAGATTACAGTAAATATTTAACTTTCATCTTTGGCTAGTACTGTTGTGGACCTCCTATGACCATTTATTTTAAGTTTGTAGTCTTAGCCTTAGGTCTTAAGTTTCATCTAACGTATATGAATGTTTCGTTCCTCCTAGTTCGACGTATTGGAAAGTTGTAGTCTCAGTCTTAAGTCTTATTTTCCTACAAGTTTTTGTTTTTTTTTCCTACTGAGTTTTGTTTTTCTTTAGGTCCACGTTTTGGAAGATCGTAGTCTCAGGCTAGATTCTGTGGTACCAGAGGACGAGGGCGAGTACAGTTGTGAAGTCGACAACGCTGTTGGAAGTCTAACAGCCTCAGCAACACTGACTGTGCATTGTGAGTATACTACATGACTACAAAATATGTTATTGGAACAATAGAAAACCTTTTCTAAACAATAGCATTAATGAAAAAAATTGAAAGATTTAAAATGGTGAATCATTTATTTGGCTAAAAATCGAAGAGCAAAAAGTTTAAAATAAACTATTTAATTATATGTTCTTCTTTCTTCTGTCTTTTATGTTTGCTTTCTTAATATCATGAATCAGGTTTGACTTACAATCATGAAGCCTTATTTATCTTGTGTTAAATTGTATTTTTAATCGTAGACACTATAGTCTACGAATCTGAAATCGTTCTGAATCGTTTTTATGAGTCTGAAACAATAAAACATATATTAGTGCATGTATTTTATGTGTTGTATTATTTTATAATGTATTTTTGTTATATATTTACACTGAAAATAGTTTCCACGTGGTAGGTACAAATTCGGGTCTTGAGCCTACCAGTGTGGGAAAGTGGAAAGGGAGGGCCATGACTTAGTTTACACTTGTTTACTGTTTTACTGAAGTCCCGCGCTCTAACCACTACTTTCAGCTCGCTCCCACCCAATGGGAATTGTTTTAGAGATCCATCACATCTCGTACAGGTCGGGGTATAATTGTGGTAGATTTTACAAAAACTGGTTTCTATTACAAGCCATGACAAAATCTTAGTCTGCAAATCGCGGATTTTCAGTATCTATCAAGTTTGATTAAGTTATTTCATCGTTGTGTGCGCAGCACCACCGGTGATCATTTCGCGACCCGAGGAGTTGACCGTGGCCACAGGAGAAACGGCGCAGTTCCAGTGTGAGGCGCAGGGGAAACCTTCTCCTTCGGTGTTCTGGACCGTCCAGGGGTCCAGGGTGTTGCTGTTCCCGGGGGAGACTGCTGGAAGGTTCACCGCGTCCCTGGGAACCGACGGGATCAACGTACTCTCAGTGCAGGTAAGAAAAGTGAGGAGGGATTGACTACGTATCAAATTTTGGGTTACCTGGACTTAATTTATTAAAGTAAGCTGTGGTACAAGATGTAAATTAATAATAAGAGAAAATTTGCCTGAACGGATAAGGATACTTGCCACAAAACTTAAATGGACTTAGCATTTTGGCCAAAAATAAGTAGTAAACTAATCAAGAACTAAAATGAAAAACTATTTTTGGAGGGGGGACAGAAAAAGTTCGTTGTCTCATTGAAACACCTTTTTAAGGTTACTATTTGTCAAAGATATTTAATGAGAATTTTTAATATAAAAGTTTTCTCTACCACCACTGAGACGAGAGGTAAAAGGTGTCAACACTACAACCAAAAGCCACGACTCTTAAAAGTTCGTCTTTTGAGTTTGATTATTTTGAAAACATATTATTTTCTAAATCTACTTTAGGAGGTGACCAGAAACGACACTGGCCTCGGGGTGGTCTGTAACGCCATCAACTCCGCCGGATCTGACAGCTGGGCTGCCAGACTGACGGTGACACAAGGGTTTCATCCTCCTCCGGTCATCGTCCTCGGCCCGGCCAACCAGACACTACCTTTGGAGACGGAGGCCAGCTTCCAGTGCGAGGTTAGTCATTCGAGTTGTCCAAAATATGATTCAGAAATATTATTTGCCGACTTTGTTGCTAATCAAGTTTCTGAGATTACAATTTTCTCTTTTACTCTAATTAATATTTTGAATGAATTTAGGATGCCAACATTTAACCGACGTGTCACTTGCTTAACTGGCTTGTCGACAAAGTGGCCTGTCGGACGAATTGCATGCCCTCTAAATTAGAATTTCACCTTGAAAGAATAATGACTCATGAGTATCGTCTGGTACAAGACATACATAAAGTAAGAAGCCATTATTTATAATATCGAGGCTACAAAAGCGCGAGATGAATTGCTCAGCGAAAAAATGTGTAGCTTTATTAGTAACCCTATCGAAAAATCTACACACTAACACCCAGGAAGAGTGACCGGTTCTTCTGTCAATCATGATTTTTCTCTCTTGAGTTGTGGTAATGACTTTTCTCAATCTTTGATTTAAAGTATCGAATATATCAGTCATTAAGAGTGTGTCACATTTCATTCATTTGCCCTGATTCTACTGTTTGACAGGTCCGTGGAGAGCCATCGCCACAAGTGACGTGGTACAAGGACCATTCCCCAGTGCTCACGATGCATCCCAGGATCTCTGTGTTGGACAATGGCACTCTTTACATTGAAGGTACAGTATTCATCTTATGTAGCATAGACTCATCTGTCGGATTCATATGCATTTGTCGTGCATTTGTATTCTTCTTTTTCCATTGTCTAAACACAGCTGGTAACATTCAACATGCTTTGCGTTTCAACAAGGATTTTTAATGGTACACTTAAATTAACATTACAAATAGACATTTTACTGCACTCCTGGCTATGTTTATTGCAATTGATGGCTAGATTAGGTCAGTAAAAAGATTTATTGATGAGTAAAAAACAAGTTTCGCTACTTTTTGGGATCGGAAACCTGATGAGGGAACCTAAAATTGCAGGCTTATTACACAAACTGGGAAGCACTGAAGAAGTCTTAGCTTAAGAGAATTAAATAGCTACCAACTAAAAGAAAACACAGACACGAAGATAAAATTGTGAAAACGAAAAAGGATAAACGTTGAAGTCAACACTGCCACAGTCCTTACAGTCAAAATACAAGAGAATGTGGTAGATACAAAGGTTTAGCCATCAGTGACTTACTTAAAAATCATTTCATTAAAATTTATTTCGCTTACTATACTGTTTGAAATCCAAAGAAGAATAGGGAAGTTTTTTTATAGTTGTATGCTTTATGAATCCCCAGATCTGCAGCGGACAGACGAGGGCCTCTATACTTGTGTGGCCGCATCTCAACACGGCAAGGCTACTTGGACCGCCAAGTTGCGGTTAGAGTCCCTCAGGAACTCTGACATCGCGTTCTTCAGGAGTCCCACCCTGGCCGCCCTCCCAGGCCCGCCCAGCCGCCCTCTGGTGGTCGCCGCCCACCGCAGCTCCGTCACCCTCTCCTGGAGCCGCCACTCGCAGATAGGCTCGTCATCCCTTCTAGGCTATCAGGTGGGGACTTTGAGGTTTGAATTTCGAATGGGGGCTTAGGTAGGGGCTACACCAAATAAAACTATATTATTAACGACTGATTATGATGTGATTCGCACTCAATTGTAAACCACACCAAATAAAAAAGTGATTTGCTCCAACAGCGAAATTCTAACGATTTCAACTTTAACCTCCTCTTTCATGTATATATTTAATCAGAGGATATTGCACAGAGAGTCGATCTCTATGGCAGATACTGCACAAACTTTAGTTTGTAACCAATTATCAATAGATCAATAGATCTACCAATTATCAATAGATGACGTGTGTGATGCTTTTCCGCAGTTTTGGAATGCATAACAAAATGCTGATAAACAATTTGCATAATCCATAGAAATGTATTCACACAAAGTAAAAAACACAACACCAAAATGTTTTCCTACTACACTACAGCCGTAATCCCTATGTTCCATTTCAACACGTTTCTCCTGTATTCCAGGTGGAACTGTCAGGACGCCCTGTTGGAGGTGAGCCTGGAGGACACACAGTGGGATGGGTGACCGTGGCTCACAGGGTCCCTGGTCCTACTCACGCACTTCACCACCTTCTGCCAAACATGACCTACGTCTTCCTTGTCAGGTGGGTACTCTGAGGTCTCTACTTAAGGTGTAGTTTATCATACTTAAAATCCCATCGAATAAGGGACAGAAAATTCCTCAGGAAGCTCTAGCCAAGTAAATATGAAAGATCAGGCTTGCAGGTCAGTTAAGTTTCTAGATGCTTTTCAGGGAAGTGAAAATGCCCGAAGTGCTGACACACATTAACCTGTAAAGTCTCCCCAAATGATGATGATAATGAAAGCCCATTGATCAAGTACTGCTAGTTTGAACCATAAAATAACATACTTTCTTGTTTGAACTGAACCTTCTCTTTTTCAATGGTTGGGACAATTTCAACTTTACAAGATATGTAATAATACAAACTGTTGTTCATGACTGATAAAAAAGAGGCCACTGAAAAAGAATTGTACTCATTTGAAGTGACTTTTGGTGTTTTTCGAGGTTGTTGTATATAAAATAGGCCCTAGTGATCACGCAACCATACAAAAGCTCTAAGTAAAAATAACCTTACTGCAATTGCACGATTCTATAACTGTTATGTTTGTTGAAACACGTTTTTGACCACTTGTTCCAGGGCTGAGAACGCCCACGGTTTCTCTCCCGCCAGTCCGCTCTCATCCCCCGTTACTCTGCCTGAGCAATCAGCTGATTTACCAGAGGAAGTGAGGGAAGCAATGGCCACCCTTTCTACAGGCAACATCTTGGAGCTCTCCTCTATATTTCCAATCAGTTCTACATCCATCAAGCTAGGCTGGGAGGTGAGCATTGCAAGTCTTAAATAACACTTGTAATTGGGTTTAACGTGATTTTGTACGTTTGGGAAATGCCTAATGCACCAAAATCAGGAGGGTCAGCAGACAGGTTTCATCATTCAGACTATAACATGTCTCTGTCTCCAGATACTGATCTCCGACTTTGTGGAGGGAATGTACATCTACTCCCGAGGTCTCGACGTCAGATCTAAGACTACCAACGCTCTCACGGTCATCCATGCTGGAGACACGTCACGCTTCATAGTGACAGGTTACATCATACAGACTATAACATGTCTCTGTCTCCAGATACTGATCTCCGACTTTGTGGAGGGAGTGTACATCTACTCCCGAGGTCTCGACGTCAGATCCAAGACGACCAACGCTCTCACGGTCCTCCACGCTGGAGACACGTCAGGCTTCATAGTGACAGGTTACATCATACAGACTATAACATGTCTCTGTCTCCAGATACTGATCTCCGACTTTGTCGAGGGAGTGTACATCTACTCCCGAGGTCTCGACGTTAGATCCAAGACGACAAACGCTCTCACGGTCCTCCATGCTGAAGACACGTCAGGCTTCACAGCAGACAGGTTTCATCATACAGACTATAACATGTCTCTGTCTCTAGATACTGATCTCTGACTTTGTGGAGGGAGTGTACATCTACTCCCGAGGTCTCGACGTTAGATCCAAGACGACCAACGCTCTAACGGTCCTCCACGCCGGAGACACGTCAGGCTTCATAGTGACAGGTCTGATGCCTTACACCCGCTACCAGTTCTTCCTCGTACCCTTCTACAAGCACATCGACGGTCGACCATCTAACTCACGGACTGTCAGGACTCTGGAGGATGGTAAGTTGATGAATGGATGGGGTGGTCTAGTAGCACAGCTCTGGACTTCGGTCCATGAGATCCTGGGTTCAAATCCAGCCAAATTACCAATTGATTTTGTCTAAGTGATAAGGCCGCGACCCCTGGGTCTAGCTTGAAGGAAACGATTCCGGGGTAATAGCCATATTAAACTTTGAAAAAGAATTTCGCAAAAGAATGTATACATGTTTTATTTTGACCTAGGACAAAAACGTTTCTGAATGGATACCACAAACACTCTTTGTGCTATTGTAGAATTACAAACATGTATGCTGCTCGATAAGCTAAACGGATTTATAATTATAGGAGAAATAACAATAAATAAATTACATCAACGCACTAAATCAATTGTCTTCAATAAATTCATAACAAAAGAAAAATTTACAAAAAATATGTTTAATTATTTACTTTACAAGTATAATCTGAAATATGTTTCAATGTGTAGTTCTTAATGGCCAATAATCCTGAATTAAATATCATTTTCAGTTTTATTTTTTAAGTTACCTACAATTTACTCTTTGATTATGCTGCCAGAAGATACATTACAGATGAATAATTTTATGTGGTCAGAATAGATTTAGGGTCGATGAAATTTTACGGAATTATATGATTGTTAGTGTGGTAGATGGGCTTTATTTTAGTGAAAATATACTAAGATACCAAGCATTTAAATTGACCAACAGCTATGGAAAACAATTATTTTTTAATTAATTTTATCTTTTCTGAAACATTTTTCGTTCATAAAATTTTTTAGCACGATTAGAATGCGTGAATGAATACTTTTTACTTTCCATAAAAACCAATTGCATGGTGTTTCTTATGTCGTCCCTAAATAAACCATAAACTAATTACTGACGTATTATTTTAATTATAAATAAAATATCAATACAGAGTCTGCATATGGAGGATTTGTTCGTTGACTGAATAATAGCATTGAGTATAAACCTAACTCAATGCTATTAGTTAGGTTTATACTCAATGATAATAGTCAAGTTTGAGTTGGTTTAAAATAAATAAGTCTAAAACTGTTTATTTTCGCATATACTGCAGTTTCATTTTTTTACAGTTTTATTAAAAAGTACAAAAAATATACATGGCAAAAATCTCAACAATCTATAATTCAACAAATTTGACAACATTTAATTAAGACTTGAACCTGAAGAGAACAATACGTGCTAGAGAAGCTGATTAAATTTGGAACAAAGGCAATTTAAGAGGAACAAAAACCTAAATGAAAGAAGGAAGGTGAGATTGAGCCCAAATTGTAACACTCCGAGATGTCGAGAGGTCTTGAGCAAGTATTGTGTCGGTGTTGTGGACTTCTCCGTCTTTTTATATAAAATGTATTTATAAAAAGTTGTCATCAAATTTTATTATTTTATCAGTAAAAACGTAAAACAGCCCCCCAGGTGTGCTTCCGCCTGATTTTAAAGAGTATTCCAAAATATCGTATCTTTCCCGTCAATTGTAATTTTAATTTGTACTACTAGTATTAATATTTCGTTTACTGCCAATCCCTAAACAATATAATATCACTATACCCCTAAAACCCCTATCAACAAACTACTCTCATTTAAATATTTTTCACGATCTAACATACACTGATTTTATTAGAAAATAAAAAGTTAAGTTAATAAATTGAAAGAAGAATAAGCAAATAAGAACAGATGAGCTATTTTTAGCATTAGGTATAATAGAAAACTTCCTTTAGAAAGGAATTACGACATTAAAGGGCAATTTATTAAATAATGGATAATTTTGCGCAAGGTTTCTCGTCATGATGAACATTTTACGTATATGGTTTATGGGGATGTGACTTTTAGTGTTCTCAAAAGTTCATGGGACTTTGGTATTTATATATATGGATAAGACATGATAAATCATAAATTTCAGAACACATCGTTTTGAAGACAGTATCAAAACACGTTTACAGATAGTAAAAACTAAAAAAAAACATTAGCATATTTGGTAAAAGTGAACAAATCGAATTGTTTGAAATTTTATCTCAGTATAGGCTTAATTAGCTTATCAACTAAATTAATTCAAAAAGACTGAAGTTATTTGAGCTCTTTAATCACTGAACAGCTGTGCTTTGTAAAACAAGACGTGGCCACACGGACGTCAACAAAGGGTTACATTTTACCCCCCTTGATCCTTTGTTTTTGCCTCTCTCACTCAAAACAACACCTGCTAGACTGCTTGACCTGTTTTCTAACCATTAAGTGCTACATTTCAACAGCTGAATTATACCTTCTGGTAATTATATAATTTTCTTCGTGATAATCACGAATAATTTTGTTACGAATCTTATTTTTAATTTCAATTCAATTAGAAACTAATAAATACAATCCTCAGATGTTTGCTCTGCTCAGTGCGTATTAGCATACATAAAACATAGTCCCTTAGTAAATTTCTCATCCTAATGGAACAGCTGAAGACAATTTTCTTGTTAGTTCTGTACGGTTTATGTAGAGGTCGTGTTTTGTTTATAATTTGTTTCTCGTTAATACAGTCATTTAAAACCTCGTTTAGCCAAATAATACGATATAACCATAAACAATAAATTGTCCCCTAGTAATTTAACCAAACAGTAAAGCACAAATAAATAAATTAACCCTATAATAATAGAAACAAAATTTCGTCGACACTAGCGCCCAGTGTGGCGTACATGAACTAGACACGAAAAACGAGCTTCAAAATTTACAATGGGATGAGAAGTCTACTTGTGTTGGTTAGTCTATGGTATTAGTGATAGTTTGCTCTGCGCACTGGATAATTTGCTCTGGTTATAGTGGGTTGCCATTATACAGTATTTCCTTTAGCGCAGTGTGTTCAACCTTTGACTATTTTCATACAACCAGACATTCCATCCCCATGTTGAAGTTGTCACCAGATTTTTATTTGAATCAAAATCGTCGTAGTTGATGTGAGCCACCGTCAGATTGTGCTGATCTAAATTCCTGTTTGTTTTCGAACACACAAACCTTTTCACCAAGTCAAACTGATGGAACAATTTATTGTGAGGCATAGCAACAAACTATGTCAGCAACAAAAATAACGAAGAAAATAGAGTTTTTGACACCAGCTCTTTCCGTGTATAACTCGCATAACTACGTTCTTTTTTAGTAAATATTTGGTGACAGCTGGTCCATATAGATGGGATGTCTAGTCTAGTTCAGAATTTAATAATTCAACTGATGATCCGCTACGGACAGTTTGTTGTAATAATGCTTTCTCAAGTGCAGTGCGTTGTAAGTGTATTTTTGTACACCTATCACTGTAATGATTGTACATGTAGTGTTTTGTAATGTTTTTTTTTTTCTCCAGTACCCACGGCATCACCAACACAGATGGAAGCACAGCTGCTGAACGGATCAGCTGTGCTGGTCACTTGGAAACCTCCGCCTCAACATACACATCGTGGGGTTATACGCTACTATCAGGTAAAGTATACCATCAACGTATACCCATAAGAATCTTAAATTTTACACAATCATAGCCTGATGAAGCTATCACGAACATAACACCATCTCTCTACCCCAGTATAGCCAGTAAGATGGAACCTGTCTCCTGACCATTCGTTTACCTGGAGACTGGCCCGGGTCTTAAGCCGTTGGGCCGGTCCAGGTATATGGAGGATCAGGAGACAGGTCCCATCATACAGACTAAAGTAATTTATGACTTAAGTTATTTCTACGTGTCTGCTCTTTTTACACCTCGTTCTTCCCTCTGGCATTAATACTTCTCTATTGTCCAATACATCGTTTAATATACTCTTAAATGTAATTAATTTTTGTTAGTTCGATCACTGATACTGTCTGCTAAAGTCCTAAATAATTGCTTAAACCTTTTGGTGATTTCTTTCTGTTGTTAGTCTTAAACCTTCCGTGGACCGCCACGACCGCTCCAATTCTTCTTTCAAATGTATTGTAGGATAAAGTATGTAAGCCGGAAACTCGTAAGGTTGAACTGCATTTCAATATTGTATTCACCAACATCAACTCATTTTAAACTTGTTTGGCAATACGTCTCGTTCTGCAGAGTTTTTTTTCTGATATGTATATAAACCTATATGCTTAGTTTGAATTTATTTACCAAATAAATTATGAAAACATTAACAAAGTTTAGATGCGTTGTTCTTTCCTTCACGGTCCTTTTTCCTGTTCCATGAAGCCGTAATAACGTATCTTATTACGCAAGATAGTCGCAGTTGTGATTTATTTTATTGATAAGTTCTTTGAAAATATTCATTCCAAATCGTGCTGTAACCATCTTTATGAAATGTTTGTGTCGAGCTGAATCCAAATCATCTAGAGGGATTTTCGTTTATGCAGGTGGTAGTGCGCGGAGGCCCAGCGCTCAACGGCACATTGCTGACGAATGTGACAGTGAATGCTGCATCTCCATCACTGCTGCTGACGAACCTCACTGCCGGGCTGATGTACTTGGTACAAGCTGCTGCAGTTACCAGGGTAGGATCAGGTCCGTACAGCAGCCCTGCCACTTTGAGGCTGGACCCTTATAGCAGACTTCTCAACAACTACAGGTGAGATGCAGCTAAAAAATGATATTTCTCCTATTAAATCTCTTGGAAGACAAACGCCATCTCTCTGAATGCCATTGCAATACCTTTTATGAAAGGTGCCGATTTACTACTTATTCACTGCTTCACTGGTTATTTTTAAGCAAAGAAAATAAGAGGTGTGCATCTTCAAAGGTATGCGCCATCTTCATTTTAGAAACTCATTAAACTTCTAAATAAGAGTGTTTCCAGCTTATTGACTAAAACAACCGCAAATCTGACACATCGACGCTAAAAATCGAACTATTGTTTATCAAATGCAATAAATCACACAAAATTATCATTAAGGATTTATTGCAATGAAGAAAGTAAAGGTCGCAGGAGAAAAAAACATTTACCTTCCACGGATAACCTAGTCTAGAGTATCAGACCTTGCTAATTGAAGGAAATGAAGCACAAAAAAAATCACCTCAAAAAGTCTGTTGAAGATGGATGGAACAAAGAAAGGTTGCGGAAAAACAATATTTGTACCACTTGTCTTTTTACTTTCCATTCGTGGATATTCGACTCTGGAATATCACCTGATTGTTCAAAGACAAGTAAGAACACAAAATATTCATTTAACTCTCAAAACGTCTTTTGGAGATGAAGTAAGGAAAATCAAAATACGAAAGCGTCTATTAAATCTCTGGACTTTCCATATACGGATAATTTATTTCATTTCACTCTATATTCCAATCTATATTGTGATACAACTAGCATGTCAACAGTTCTATTACTATCCTTACGACCTTGTTCTTCTTCAGGTACCCCACATTGGAACAACCCGAGTTCACCACGACGACTCCTAAGTTCGTGACGGAGACGTGGTTCGTGGTTGTTCTCATGTCACTGGTCGCCATCATGTGTTTGCTGTTTGCTGCTCTTCTCTTTGTGCGCAGACGCCAGTTGGATGCAAAGATGACCGCTCTTCCAGGTTTAAACTCATAATCTCACAATTACAATAAGGTTTATTTATTCTTTTTGTTTGTTACATAAATTATAGATTGTTTTTGTTGATTCAATTTTTTCCGGATCTTTGTGCTCCTCAATTTCAATTTCTTTTCCTTTGCTCATCAACCTGTTTTTGTGTTGTATTTTCTATTTGATTGAATCCCTATTTTATTTTCAAGTTTTTTTCAACTCTCAGTAATTCAATCAGTAATTTTCCAACTAGTTAGTCCATTCTCCTTTCCCTACTTTTTATTTAGATACCTCCTTTAAATTTCTCTATTATTTTTTGGGTTTGTCGTATCAACCTGCACCTTTTAGTGCACCAATAAAATGGATAGTTAAAAGCATTTTCATTTGTAGTATTTTCCGTTTTTACTGCTGTTTACTTTGGTATTTTTGGAAGGATTGCTTGACCGGTAACTTTCTTTTTCATTAAGGTGACAAAGTTAGGGCAAAGGTTTTCTCTTTAACATCGGTTTGTTTTGCCAGAGCACACAGTGACAGTTCTGCAGGAGCCGAAACCGCTGTTGTCAGAGCCTCTGTCAGACTTCAAGGTCGCTGTAGTCAAGGTCACGACCCCGGACTACGCGGAGGTCACCCATCAGCAACCCCCGCCTCAATACCGCGAGAGGGAGAGGTCGTGTTCACCTGAACCCTACGCCAGTACAACCCTCGTCTCGCCTGTGGAACCGTCCAACCGAATGATGGTGAGCAATTCAACGCTTAACAGCACAATTCTTACATGATATACTATAATATACTAAACTGGTTTATACCCTTTGTGATTTTGCTTTACAGAATCCCGGCATTCTCAATCATATCGATTTTGTCGTATCTGTCCTCTCAAATGTCAATCTTGTTCAAAATGGATTCTCTTCTAAAACAAATTAGTGTAATTTTTAGTACTAACATGGTTTTGATTGTTTCAGAGTTGGTCAGGCCAAGGGTCCAGTAGAGAGTTGTACAGAGGGTCTGATATGTACGGTCCAGGGCGGCTGTACGATCCTCATCATTACCCTGGAAGCTTCAACGGAGAGACCAGAACTCATCAGGCGTACAACTACCAGACAGGTGATATTGAGGGATAGATTTTCCCATAAAGTATAAGTATGCTCAGCTATATAAACGATTTCTAAAATGGCATACTTTTACTGGATAGGCTTCTAAGCTGTGACCTTTTATTGTAAATTTGTAGTCTTCGTGGTCCGTGTTAAAATCTATGCAAAATGCAAAGAGTGTGTAAGTCGCCCTGAGAATGGCACATGCATCAAGGCCGAAACATCAGGTGAAATCGTTTCGTTGGTTTTGAAACTGAGGTTGTCCGAAGACTAAGAATCTGTCACAGCTGCAATCCCAACCCAGACATAGTCCTAAGACAACCGCATAGGACATAGTTCTTAAACAAAATTGGTTTTTGTTTAACATCACGAAGAAGAAGATGTACAAGTCAATTTTCGTTTAGGATCGCAAATAATGTACTGAGAAGTCTTGCTTACGATGTTTAACATGCTTAACCATCTGTGATTTCTTGGATACACTGAAACAATTATGGCTTCCTAATTACTCTAAAATAGTCACTTTAACTGGTAGAGTCAACTGGGTTGCCATTGTTGACAAGAAGCATTCTTCAGACTGCTAAAAGTTATGGGTCAACAAAGATGGATCTTCTTCTAAGAAAGCCCCTCACAATCATTTTCCCAATCTGATCACGAGTATAATATCTCTATACGACTATTATAACATTTTTTACCAAAATGAACTGTTTTACAGGGAGTTGCTCCAACAGTCCTCTACTCGGCCGAGACTCTCATGCCAGAGATCAAAGAACAGAAACCTTACGCAGACCTTCCAGACACCGCCACAATCCTGTCCATAGGTTTTACAATGTAAGTTTGGTAACCATTACTTTTTGATCCTATTTAAGGTGTGCTAATATTTTTTTATGTCTTCTAAAATCAATTATTCAGGCGAGGATTATATTCAAAGAAAGTCCCTCGCCATTAACGACTAACATTTTCTCTCGAGTCTGGTTTATCGTTCAATCATCTAGTAATTGAGCTTTTTTCATTATTCAATGTCAACGATTATATTTTCAGTATTTTTTAATAAGATTCCTACCAGTCACCACACTCCTCTTATTAAAGGTCTTAAGTCACCAGGTAATGAAGCTTCTTCTTGCCTACCACGAATTTGAACTTTCATTCTTATCAGTCTTAGTGTCACTAACATTGTACTTTTTTATTCAACACGTAGAAACCCCTACATAAACCGTAGAATGACTCATTCACGGAGAGGATTGTGTTCTCTAACAACCGTTGTATCTTTTACGTACACGTATTGTTTTTATATTTAAAGTCACGTCGAGCAAGAAACTGTCAGTAGGCCAACCTATGTTCTATATAATGTTAAAAATCATAAATCGGTGATTTCCCAAAATTAAGTCTAAATGAAATCCACAAATTGATATGTAAATCTTTTGACTTAATCAAGAATTATTGTTTCATTTTAATCGTGGTGTAAAACTCTGCCTCTCTTTAACACCAATAAGTCAATAACTGGAAAACTCTTGTGTGCACTAACTTGTTTGTACAAGTCTCCAATTGTATCTTTCACCAATCTATCTATCTATACAGGGTGTTCATTTGAAAACTTTCCATATCTGTTGTGTGCAAAGGTAAGGCTTTTAACACTTGTTTGTTCTCATTTTCCCCTAATTTGGACATGCCAAATCCAATAAAATTATTTTCAATTTTGAAAAATGCCCCAAAAGGGCCCAATTTGGGGGGTAGGGGTGCTTTTTGAGAAATTTTCAAATGTAAACATGGGTTGTGTGATACATCAATTTAAAGCTCTAATCACCCCGATCATTTTGGTGCAAAAAAAGTTTAATTATTTTTAACCGTATTTACAGGGTGGGTCAAAACGTTTTAAAAAAGGACTTTGAAGTTAAGTACCGTATTACCCTAACTACTGAACGGAACAGCGCCAAATTTCTTTCCAAGCTTATTCTTGAGCTACTCTTTAAGATAACTTGTAGTAAGGGCATTTTCTATGTTATTTTCTAATTTTAAAAAAATCTCAAATTTTAAGAATAAAAGAAAGCTGAAAACTAAAAATTCTTAAATAGCAAGGTATGACAAATTCCATACCACGTGAAAGGTCCTTTTTTAACAAACATTTTACGTATTTAAGTTTTCTTTCTATCTCTTACCGTTTAAAAATTGCAGTAGAAAAACATAATTTTCTATGGTAAAATTGTAACTAGTTTTCTAATAAAACAGCCAAAATTCGTCTCTAGACACATTAAGTGGTGCAATAACTGAAGGAAACAATTCATAATTATTTTTAGGCAGATAGGCAAACAAGTCATTACGTTTTACTTTGTGAAAAACAAGTTTTATAGCTGATGAGAAAAACCCAAGCGTGGGCCGCTTTCTGTAGTACCATTGACTAGTCAATGGTAGTACTAATTTCAAAAGTACCATTTCCTGTAGTACCTAATCAAATATGGTGTAAACTTAAAAAAATAGACTTCATTTTTACTTATTGGTCACAACAAAAGTGTTCCAGGATAACTGCAAAGTTTTTAACAATAGATATCCAGGTATAACATTGAGTCATATGGCTGTAAATGATTTAGTTAGGAAGTTTTCTGAAACTGGCTCAGTTACCAATGAGAAAAGAACAGGATGAATTCTGACACACGTAAAAGTAGTCGATCAATTTGTTATGAATCCTACTACATCGTTGTACAAAGTGCAATGTGTTTTATTAGAAAACTAGTTACAATTTTACCATAGAAAATTATGTTTTTCCACTGCAATTTTTAAACGGTAAGAGATAGAAAGAAAACTTAAATACGTAAAATGTTTGTTAAAAAAGGACCTTTCACGTGGTATGAAGTTTGTTATACCTTGCTATTTAAGAATTTTTAGTTTTCAGCTTTCTTTAATTCTTAAAATTTGAGATTTTTTTAAAATTAGATAATAGCTTGGAAAATGCCCTTACTACAAGTTATCTTAAAGAGTAGCTCAAGAATAAGCTTGGAAAGAAATTTGGCGCTGTTCCGTTCAGTAGTTAGGGTAATACGGTACTTAACTTCAAAGTCCTTTTTTAAAACGTTTTGACCCACCCTGTAAATACGGTTAAAGATAATTAAACTTTTTTTGCACCAAAATGATCGGGGTGATTAGAGCTTTAAATTGATGTATCACACAACCCATGTTTACATTTGAAAATTTCTCAAAAAGCACCCCTACCCCCCAAATTGGGCCCTTTTGGGGCATTTTTCAAAATTGAAAATAATTTTATTGGATTTGGCATGTCCAAATTAGGGGGAATTGAGAACAAACAAGTGTTAAAAGCCTTACCTTTGCACACAACAGATATGGAAAGTTTTCAAATGAACACCCTGTATATTAATAGGCAAGCATGTTTCTTTAAAACCTTTTTTCTCAGCTCGTGTGCATCGCAGGGGAAATCTACGCATACTACGCATTAGAAAGATATTAGCCTGTAGATGTGCAGAATCCTTTTATAAATTAAAATAGGCCAAAAAATAAGCACAAAAAACGAATTTGAAAACTTCAAAAAATTAACATGGACCAACTGGGTTGCCATGATGGTGACGAAATAACAACAAAATGTAAACAGAAAATCAAAACAAATGGAAGAAATCCCAATCACATGTTTTATTTACAGTGTGGGGAGAAAATAGAGCAGTAAGTACATTAATTATTTTTGGTCGAGTTTCGACGACAGGACGACCACTAGTATATTTAAATACACGACTTGTTAATATGTTTCAGGATCGCCTAGGGGAGTACGTAGCCGTTCCCCAATCTCCGGCACATCCTCCTCCAGACGTAATTTCCCCCACTTCTCTGCGGTGGAGGCTACAAGGTGTCGGGGTGGGAGGCTACACCAACCCATCCAACACCCTCACCACCTTTACTCGAGGCTACAACCCAGTTTACCACAACTCTGCTAGAAGCGAACCCTCCAACAAGCATTACCAGGCGAGGTTATAGCAGCAGCGCGTGCAGGACTGGTGTGACTGGAGACCTTGATAAACCTTGAGGACAAGGAGAACGGAGTAAAACTTGAAGAATTAAGGTTGTCGAAATTGAAGATTTTTGCCAACTTGACTGAGTGTTGTCAAACTTGGAAACTTGAATTGTATCGTCAACCTTGAAGATTGTTCTCAACCTTTAAGATCTTTAAGGTCGAAGAAAGTTGGTGATTTGAAGACTTAAGTATTTTCAATCTTGAAGATTGTTCACAACCTGTGAGGGCGAAGAGTGTTGTTAAACTTAAAGACGTAAAATTAGTTTTGTCAACTTGAAGATTATTCACAACCTTTGAGGGCAAATAGTGTTATCAAACTTGAAGACTTAGGAAAGAGTGCTCTTAACCTTGAAGACCTAAAGAATATTTTCATCCTTGACAAGTTAAAGAGTATGGTTAACATTAAGGATTGAGTGTTTTGACAACCTCAAACATAATCTTCAATCTAGAATATTTCTCTCGACCTTAAAGAATATTTTAAACCGTGAAGATATATTCCCTTGAAGATATATTCCTTGAAGAATATTCCCAACCTTCAGTAAGTGAAGAGTGTTCGTAGGTTGTTATAAAGAAGTTTGATAAGAAACTCGAGTGAAGATCCTGGGTTTTGCACGTTTACAATGGAAAATCTGAAAAAAGTACACACGATGTTCGAAATTTTATAAATATTTTTTAAGTTATCATGTCATATTTTCTTATAGGCCTACGTTAAATTTAATTAAAGTTAGTGTATAAAATATGCTACAGCTTCTTTCTGAAATGGAACAGAAACTGTGGTTAACAGAAAATACTTGGTTTAAATCATTAATTTTCAGGTCTCTCTTGGTAATGTTAAGGAAACATTTTTAGGGCAAAATAAACATTAATTAATGTATCTAAAAGTATTAACACTTTAAATTGTACCCCAATAACATAAGGTCCGTACCAAGCCAACAATTGGGGCTTGGCGAACATTTTGTTTTTAGGTTTCAAATATTTCTCTTAAGTATACATCAGTAGCATTTCTAAATCTAAGATAAATAACTATTTTAATACTGATATGGTGCAATATCATATTGCAAAGTGCACATGATAATAAAAACCAAGAAAAACTTATGATTTATCTTTCTTCGGACATTTTGTTTGGCAAAATTGTTCATCCGTCCACCTAGAAATGGTCCAATATTTTACATATCATATTGGCTCAAGTTTTGGGGAAACCAGTAAAAAAATCAGCCAAATTTTCTCATAAGCTTTTCATTTATTCAATGAGTGTTTCAACTTCTCATTTTGTATACATATCATTTTTGTATCTATACTCAATGTTAGGTGATGTAATTTTGTAAAATAGACGAAACGTGTCTTTCTTCATGCTTACGTCATAAAATATTTGTCAAGTGTCTTTTCTTAGACTTATAAAATTTTGTGACTCTTTCGCTGCTGTTATTTTTATAAAAAGTTGAATTTATTTTTGTTTCAAACAAATTTAGATGTAAGAATATATTGAGTAGTCTTGGACAAGCTTCGGGATAACATAGTTTCACCATAGATACGCACAATAATAGTTTTCAAATAAGTTTTGAAATCACACAAATTAGCTTAGACCTGAGTAAAATACATAATGTATAATAAATGTGCCAAACGTCCTCTGTCAATTAATTGTCATTTGAATGGTTCTTTGAGTCTTTAGAAATTCATGAAAATAGCACTATTTTGTAAACAAATTCCAGGTGTAGCCTTCGTAGGACCTCCAGCACAATAAAGGAAACCGCGCCAGAATGTTAAACAAAATTGCCTGGTGGTTAGAATTATGTGTAAAAAACTATGTTCATGTAATTAGATAATCATCAAATTTGTTGTAAAAATCTATCGAAACCATTTGACTCTAGTCATCAAACAAAATTCGGTACTTTCCTGTCAAAGGGAACATTCATTATTATCAATGATTTTTTTCAATATATCGATATTTTTTTTTCCGATCCATTACAAATTGACAACTGATCTTGTTTAGGCTAAAATAGACTATTAAATGGATTAAGAAATGAAACTGTTCTAAGCTAACCTAACATAACCAACCAAACTTGTTGTACTATTTAAAAATTCCTTTTGATATCAGAAAAGACAAGGTAAACACGGAATTTTTCAATGTTACACAGCAATTTTGGTTAGTTATGTTAGGTTTTTTTAACAGTTTCATTTTATTATTGTTTGTTGATACTGAACAATATTTATCGTAGTTGTCAGCTGATATGTTTCAATTTGTTAATATCGATTCATCGAGAAAAAAATCATCGATAATAATGAATGTTCCCTTTAAAAGGAAAGTACCCAAAATTCACACAAATATATAATTCGTTGGAGTCATTTTTTATATTTAAATTGCATGTACAGTACCTTATGTTTTTATGTGAATAGTTTAAATACATTTTTTGTGTCTAAAATACAAAAACCATCAAATGCAAGCTATATAAATTACATATTTAAAAGGTTTATATAGATTTTTACAACACAATCTACGGTTCTGGCAAAAGCACAAAATTCTGTCACATATCTACGACACATATCAGAATAGCTAGAATACTAGAATTGCACAATGCAATCAATTAGTGTTGTAAAAAATGGGCTGAAGAATAACTGAATGCAGACAAAAGTATATAAAATAAGTAACTCTGTCCAAAAATATTATTTTAATTATTTGTATTTTCAAATGTGTTTAACTCCAATAATTGTATAGTTGGGAAGATTAAGAATAAAAATATATCTTATAGTTCTTCAATATTATTCAACTGATTTATTTAAAGGGTTCAATCTCTTACAACTATAAATCATTAATTGTACATGGTGAGGATCAATTCGAATAAATTACGATCCTATTTGTTATTTTCTATAACAATTTAAACTTATTATTACAAGAATATCAATAATAAAATAATTGATCTTTGATTCCCTGAATATTATACTGTTAAAATATTGTCTACGACTTGGACAGTCATACCTTAGTGAGACTAGAGTTGTACCATAGACAAACAAATTGTCTATGGTTGTACTTAATCCCCTTTTTTAATTCCAGGCAGTTATACAATTTTTATTTTTTAACCTTTTGCCACCACGGTGAATTCTAATTCTAATTTTGTTTTAGAAATAAAAAGTCGATGCATAAAATAATTTATTGTTAGTAACATAGACTGAAAAGAAGACATTTGCAGGCAAAGGCTTAAACTGTACAAGTCGTAAATAATAATAAAAGATCTTAATTTGTATTTTATGTTTACTATTCTCTATGGTATTGATTTTAAATTTAATGTTTCACAATGTATTCAGACAATGACATACAATGGTGTTTCTTTATTTTCAAATCATCGTCATTCTACCATTAAACTTAATATGTGTATCTTAAACCCACGATTATTTACCTTTGAACCTATTATTATTAATAATCCTTGTTGAATCGGTGCGGAATTTAGTTACAAATTTATTTTATTTGTTTATACTTAGCTATATCATTGAAATTCTCAATAGTTCATAAATTATTTATACTCTACTTTTAACCAAAATAAAAATTACAAACCAATCGATATAGAATTCCAATGCAGTTTGAAATGCTGTAAATAAGGCTTATTAAGGAAGCATATTTTGTACTTTTGTAAAAAACTGTTTTGTATGCAAAGTGGAAATAAACTGGCAGAAGATGGGATTGTAATTGGAATATAATGTTTATTTATTTTCCCAAACAATATTTCTTGGTTACTACTAATACTAATTACTAATACTATATCCTAGGGTTACTACTTTGTTGTTTGAGGCTCAAAAAACTTTTTGTCTGTAAATAACAACGTAGCAGTTATATAATTTGACAAATAAGGTTATCTATTGGTTTTTGTTTATAAAAATCGGTATTTTTTTAAATCATACAAAATATATTTTCGTCTTATAAACTGAAGACGAAATTATACAACTAGATGATTCAGCTCACGTTGCGAATTAAAAAAAAACTAGCTGATTCCGATTGAAGTACTGTTGACATTATAAATTCAAGGCAAAATCCTATAAGAAGATAGCTCAACTACAAAAGAACTAGAGCAAATCCCTGTTTCAGATTAAATTTATAGTTGACCTTAAAATTCGAGGCGCAGTATATAACTAGATAAGTCAAATAAAGACTAGAAACTAGTTCAACTGAGCTGATTTATATGTAGCAGTTGAACCCTGAATGAATATCAAAACATTTCAGATTAAAATTATTTGGACAATAGTAAGAATTGAGGCAGAAATAGCCACATATTCAGTCCAAGTATATTATATTTATATTTTGTGGTCATTTGTTTGTCCAAGTATTTGTTTGAAACTAACTTTTACTGGACATAATATAATTTTAGCACCCTCTTTATGTAACCACTCTGAAAAAATAATTATGAATTTAGTTTAAAGCCTAACAAAATTATACTACTGTACAGAGGATAACTACAGTACTGTACTTTAGGAACATTACGCAATCAAAGTAATACTTAAGTGAACTTTACAAAAGTTTCTGGCAGCGGTGGGATTCGAACCCACGCCTCCGAAGAGACTGGTGCCTTAAACCAGCGCCTTAGACCGCTCGGCCACGCTACCACTATACCGTCTCGGAACTATTGTCAAACCACGATATTGCCACGCTGGTTTCACATACAAAATCTAACTTTGTTACAATAATCTCGGTGTATAAAGAGTTTCAGGGAAGTGGTTGACATTTCTCCAAAAAGAAACCCTTTATTTGGGGTCATAAAACCAAAATGTTCTCATTCCCCCCCCCCTATACATAGTATATGGAGAAAGTATTGTTTTGTTTCCGAGTTTGAGTTTTGAGTGGATATATCAGTTTTGGATCCCCCTGAACCCAAATAGTGGTTTTTCGAAGTGATGTCTGTGTGTGTGTGTGTGGATGTGTACAGAACTACAGACCACACCTGTTGTCCAATTTTGGTGAAATTTGGTACGTAGGTACTAATCCATGGTATCTCCAGGCTTTCTTTAAATTATTTCCAAATTTTTATTTTTAATGGTAATTTTCCCGTAAAAACCCTTAAAATAACTGAGAAAAGGAATTTTCTCAAAAATGGCCTGAACGATTTTGATAAAAATTTAGTGTGTCCTTTAAAGTCCTTTAAATTCTAAACAAATCCCATTTCCGTAAAAATAACAGTTCCAAAGTTATTGTAACTTATGTCATTTCTATCTTAAAACCCGATAAAATAACAAAAAATCTGATTTTATAAAAAGCCGGTTTCGATTAAAACTTGAATGTAATGGCCCTTTAAATTTTGGAAAAAAATTTACAAATCCCACTTTCGTAAAAATTACAGTTCCAAAGATATGGTAACTTATGTTATTTTGCCCTATAAACTCCATAGAATAACAAAAAAATATTATTAAATAAAAAACCTGTTTTGATTAAAATTAATTTGTTATTGTCCTTGTAATTCTAAACATAATAGTGCAACCCCCATTGCTGTAACAATTACGGTTCAAAAGTTATTGCAACTTTTGTGATTTTTCCCTATAAAATATCACGATTATTCCCACGGCTTACCCATGATAAAAATTGTGGAGTAACTTGTGGGAGAAAGTATGGGTCAGATTGCTGATGCCGTTTCTTTATTTCTTCATTTAAAGAACTTGTGCTGAACAACCAAACTATCTACCTAAGTAAAAACTGGTGATGAAATAGTGAACGCAATATTTTTCCCAGTTGGATTCAAAATGAAGACTAAGTGATTCACCCTCTTCTGCAGCTGTTGGAGACGATTCACTTTGCCAATCTAATTTCCTTGTCGGTGTTTTACGATTAAACTGACTGTTCGGAAGGGAAGTTTGTTTGGGGTGAATACTTAAAGCAACCTCCAGACATTCAAAGACTATTGGGGTTTCGTTTGTTGAAGACTATATTTTTTACGTCAACGCTTTACAATTTCAAGCCCATTTTTCTTTTCTGAGTAGATAACACAGGTTTTATGTTTGTTTAGGATTACGAGTTCAAAATGGTTAAATTGTACTAGCATGACATTTTACTACCATTGTCATAAGCTTATTTAGTTATTCACAATCAATTTGAAATGGCTTTGCAAAAACCAATACTTAAAAAACGCAACATTATTTTGATTGTCCGTCATGTTTTTCTGATTTGTCGGATTCAAATAAATAAATAAATAAAAAGGCCTTTATTTACAAGCGAGTTTCATATACATGATTTTAAAACTTACTCAAGTCAAACTAAAACTAAACTAACCTAATATATACAGAAATATTTGTGAAATATAATGTATACAATATAATGTATATAATTAATGTATATAATATATACAGAAATTTATGTAGGGTTACTAAATTATTTCTTCCCAGTAACCTTACACATAATTTAGATTTGTATAAAGTTATTAAATATTTTCATGGAGGTAATAAGTAAAATAATATTCATGCTCTTCATGCTTTGAAATTTATTAAATAAAATAACCCTTCCTCAACATTATATATTTTACTTGAAAAGGGGCGGTTTCAATAATTATACTTAAAAACAGTTAAAATTGTTCCATACGTCAACCCTAAAAAAAGAACCAAAACTTATTAATATTCTACTTTAAATGCATTTCTCTAAAGAACAAATTATTTCAAGATAGAAAAAGGTATACTAAAAATTCAATCAAAATTGTTATAAAATGACAAATAACATAATTTACCTTTTTTTTACCAAACAAAATATAAAACAAACTCCTTCATCTACATAATAACATTTCATGGAGCTAATTCAAATACTTAAAATAACCATTTTACAGACATACCTCATACCTTATACCATAGTTACCTTATTTTATCTTCAATTTTGTTTACTTTATACTTCTTCATAGTAAACAAAATCTACTTTTACTTCTTTTACTTTTTACTTCTTGATACTATACATTTTGTTCTCCTTTTACTCCTTTTATGCTCCTTTTAGCTTCAATTGAGATATATGGGCTCGTTTCTGGTGGAATTCAGTGAAGTTTTGATATTATCATCTCCCAAAAACATGTAAATTCTTGAA